ACTCCATCACCTCCCAGAGAAACCTGGAAATGATCACCCTAACAGTGAAAAAAATATAATCATTTTTATTATCTTCCTATAATAACTAATCTGAATCTCCCCTGTCTCATCTTAAGGCCATTTCCTCTGGTTCTCTCACTGGCACAGTAGAGGAGACTGGCCCCCACCTCACTACACCCTCCTTTCAGGGAGTTGTGGAGAGGAATGAGGTTCCCCCTGAGCCTCCTCTCCTGCAGACTGACCAAACCCAGATCCCTCAGCCATTCCTTATAAGACACATTTTCTAGGCTTTCAGGAGCCTTGTTGCCATTCTCTGAACACTTTCCAGTAGCTCAATGTCCTTTTTAAAATGAGGGGCCCAGAACTGAGGCTCTTGAACACAGGGCCAGTGCTGAGTGCAGAGGGATAATCTCTGCCCTAGGCAAATTTGACCAAAAGTAGCTTCAAATGTTACTACAGTTTAGAGTCAGGGAGAAAGGCAATGTGATCCCACACAATTGTCTCAGAAATCCACATGAAAATGTTAACAGTTAATATATGAACATTAGGAACTTCTTTGTTCTCAGTATCATTAGACATAAAATGGCGTACCACAATTTATTGCATACTATTGGTGCACCACTGACATTTTTTAATCTACACTAAAGCAAAGTTTCCCCAAAAGAACATCCAAATGTGATGCTAAAAGATACAACATGATGGAGGACCTAGGGTTTTTAACCGCTAGTTCAATTTGATTTTATTGTCACTGTTACTCTCCCATAGACTCAAAGATATAAAAGAAAATAAAATGCTGCCTTCTGTTAAGAATGTTGTCCAGAGTTTGGGGTTTTTTTTTGTCTGGAGTACAATAAGGAAAACTATAGAAAATTTTTAAAGTTTAAGTATGCCCAAAAAGATTAATTATGCCCAAAATATACACATAAATTTATTTGTATAGAAAGAAAGGATTATTATAAAAGTGGAGTTGGGGAGAGGAAGAAATAGATATTATTACTTACTTGAAAAATAACCTATATAAACACCAGTTGTTTTCCCACATTTCAATTTTTTTTCACATAAGACAATTAGCTCAATTTTCTACGTTTTTTACAAAGTCAGAAATTTTGAATGCTCTAAACAGAAATCTTGAAACATTTAATTTTAAACATCTGAAATATTGAAACAATTCAATTTTTAATTTCTCAAACTCAGCCAAACATTTTGATACTGCTAAGTCAAAATGCTACATTTTAGTAGTATACTCTACATTTAGAAGACATTTTCAATTAATTAAAGCCTACTTGAGCTCCCTCATTACAAAACAAAAGGATTGCAAATTAGCTTTCAGAGCAACTATGGAACCTTTGCACAAAAGAAAAATGGATCTTAATAAAATGGCATTTTATTATCATCACTGCTAGACTAAATGCCAGCAGGCATACATCTGCACAATATTATATATACGTGTGTGTGTGTGTGTGTGTGTGTATGCCTGTATGTGTGTGTATGTGTACATCATGTAATAATATACTAATTTTTCATATAGTTTAACTATTCAAAAAAATCAATCAAGAATAATTCACTTAAAGCCAGAATTAAATACATGATTATGGCAGTTTTGCTTGGAACCATTGATATAGCCCATTCTGTGCAAACCCAGAGACTATGCAGTCAAATATAAAATTCTACAACATATAAAATGCTACAACAGGCATTTAGCATTTCCAAGAAATTCACCAAAGCAACATCCATTGTATGCTATGCACATCAGAATCAATAATAACTCTCCTAAAAAAGAGTTATGCATTCTTGTTTCAGCTTCTATTACACGCTGTTTGAAAGAGCAGTCAAAAGATGGTGCCTAGTCTCTACCTTTGCCAATATTTAATATAAACTCCTTCCATAAAATTATAGAGAATTCTCCCAAAATTATTTACCAACCTGGTGAAAGATTTTTCCCCACTGGCCCCATTAGGACTGTCTCAGACAGTGTAGCTCTCACTACTGTTAAGAACCAGCTCCATTGCTTAAACTTTGTTATTTCTATTTTACACTCTGATGTATTATAGAAACCTATCTTCCTAGCCTTTGATCCCTGCACTAAAAGGGTGTGTCCTTCTTAGACTCATCTCGCAAACAAGCTCTCCACTCTCTGTATGTTTTTAATATTCCTTCTTCCCTCTTTCTGTCTTCAGTTAACTTGATCTTTCTTGAATACAGATATCTAGATCAGAGCAGCTGAGGTCTCATTAGACTCTAATGATATTAATACCTTCCCGCAAATATGGTCCTAAGAGGCAAACAAAGTGTTATCTGTTACCATAGCCACGTCATGCACTAAAACCAGACTAGTTGATAGTCATTATACTCATTTTCCCACAACCCTTTATTTTCTCTGGGGCACTGAAGTACATTGTCACACACATTATCAACCAGTACAGCATGAACTATCGCTTTCCTTCAAAGCAATTGTGCTTGGCCAAACCACAAGGTTTAAATTCTGAAAGCAGCTGTTGCTGAAATCCTCCTACTGATGTTTACTGGGCTACTGTTTATGTTTTGTGACAAATCTCACCAAACCCTAATAATGTACTGGGGAAAATACATGTTCATTTCTCTTTACTGGGACCTGTAAGAATTCCACTAAGTTTTGGAAATTTCTTCAACCAAATTACAAATATACTTATTCCATGGAGCTTTGAAAATTTCTTCTACAGAACTATAAGTACTCTTACCTGTACAATGGCTACAGTCATATGACATTTCTCCTGTGACCCCGACACCTGCTACAGATTATCTCTTTAACCACATACCTAGGCAACTACTGATGTTTTTTTGTTAGGTGAATTCCAGGCATCTAAACTCACAACTGATAAAATAAAAACAGTGAGGAAAACTGTCACATACCTCATAAATTCAAAACTGTAATTTCCTCAGATTTTACTGAGCTGTCCTGGTTTTGGCATGGACAGAGTTAACTTTTTGCAGTAACCATGAGTTGTCAAAGCCTGGAGCTGTGTGGGAGTGTCTGAGTTATTATATGTTCATGTCCTTGCTGGGGTGCAGAAGTAATTCTTGTGCTTCCAGGAAGATGTTTGTGACAATATAAGATATTGAATATAAAAATAGCTTATTTTTATGAATTGTAACATAAAGAGAAGAATATATATTCCTTTCAATTCATCAACAAAGCATTTAAATCTCTACAAAGAGTCCCTTATAAATCATGTCCTAATTCATGACAGAATTTAAAATAAAGAAATAGCACCCATTGAGAGGTGTTATCAATATGCTTGAAAACATGACAGCATTGCAAAGCAGCACTTAAAAACGCATGTATGGAAATTCAAGTTGCATAAGTCTGTTTAACAAAATCCACCTAAAGACTGGACCAGTTGATACAAGCCTCCATACTACACAGAATGGCAATAATATTCTCTAGTTGTGAGACACTAAAGGGAAAGGAAAACACAAGATCTTTTAGGTAAAAATATACTTTTTTTTTTCTCAAATGGTCTTGTGCTGCTAAGCAATAGAAATTTTAGCTTCTATATAATCTTCCATAAACTTAGCACTAAATTAACTATACTACAAAATGTAAAACAACAACTGTATAGCCAAGATGGATAAGACAGTGCAGAAAATTTAGCTAACAATATAGCTAACAGCTCTTTGAAACATGGAAACCTCATATGATATGATATAATGGACATCACAATCAGTTTCAGGTTTTGGACTTTTTTTCTGAAGCATCATTATTTTAAAGTATTCTGACAAAAATTTGGGGTTTATTTAAAAGAGCCTCTTTACTTCCATTAAGTAAAATAACTTTTCTGTAGCTTTTTTGAGTGACTGTCAGAGAAACATCCAACAGAAGTGTTTATTAAGTGTTGCTTAATTATAGCCCAATTATTGGCCCAACCAAATCTTCCTATCAATTCCAAAAAGGTGAATATCTCTATAACTTTTATGATTGTGAAAAATTAAGAACACTGGTGCGACTAACTGCTAATTATTTTCACTTTATAATGAGAATGTATTTGGTGTAGCTTTGCAAAGCTTTTGCAACTCTATATGGTTGAGCTGATACCCCAATTCCTTTGATTTTTGACAAAACTAATTGAGATGTAGCAAGAGATATCCAGCCAAATTATTTTTTTCCTCTTCAATCACAGCAGCTTCAAACTGGTAACTGTTTCCAGAGATTAAATGCCATTATATATAACCAAGATATTTAAAGTCATATATGTAAGTCTTAATACTGAGACCAGCAGGACAACATGGTGAAGAAGCAGTTCTAAATTTTAGTGCCTGAGGACTTCTGCTTTCTGTGTTCACCACTTGTTCCTACTCTCATACAATAAAAGCCATGTGGGAGTAGCAGCAGACAAATCACCTATAAAGTACAACCTGCAGAACCACCTAACACCTAGGAAAGATGTCTAAGTATTGTACACAAAAATGTGTACAGCACAGGCCTGAGAATTTTATTGCAGAAATGCAAAGATGCTTATAGGGAGGACCAACCTGAAGAATCCCCTAAAGCTTAGCAAATCACATCTGTTTTCGGTATTACACATTTTAAGTCCATGCATCCTGTGATGGGGGAAACAGAATGACTGCTTTTACCTGATAAACATAATAGGTTTTCTTCTTACATCTCCCAAAAATCATTCACTAAGAGAAAACTGTAAGTCCCAAATTCCAGTGCACTGTCAGAGCCTAGAGCTGCTCTATGCTGACTCTGAGTCACACCTATAGATTCTTTTCCAGCTTAAGTGCCCAGAACTACACATATCAGAATAAATTATAATATAATATAATAATAATAATATGATAATTAATACATTAAATAATGAGGGGAAAATTAATTTAATAATGCCACTTTAGGAACATCTACAGATTACAGCCTGAGTACAAATCCTCAGAGATATACAAATTTGCATCAGAACCTACATGCTTATTTTAAAAAAATCAATTAACTTTAAAGCAAATTTAGTCATAGATTATATACATACCCTCTGCTTCTCAGGGTCAACATATCGAATGCCAAAATAGTCTTTTTCCAGCAAGCTGTAATAGTTGCAGATGTGATCTATAAGAAACTGACCTTTGGTTTCCCTCTGTAAAAAGATAAAGAAATTATAAATTATGTTGAGTATTGTGAATTTTCTGTCTACAAATCTATGCATAGTGTCAAGGAAAATGACACATTAAATTTGTTGTTATTCAGACAAGGACAAGAATTTAACTTCTTATCTACTCTAAGACTCAAGAGAGTAATGATCAATACACTCCCTGCACATTCACAGATTGGTTAATATTATTACTCTTACCTTAGGAAAACTCATGCTGCTGTAATGGCCACAAATTTATGAGACTTAATATACTACTAGCAATCATATTTTCATGGATGCTATAATGGCATAACAGATACTCATTTACATAAAGAATTTCAAAACACTCTGTGGTTTTTTATCCCCCAAATTTGAAAGATCTGAATGTGAGCATTCTCCTAGAACTTTACACAGTGCCCACAGCAAGAGAGATCTGGTCCCTAATTCTTTCCATTAAGTCAGAGCTACAGTACAAAGAACAAATGCCCAAACAACTGAGAGGTTTTTGTATTTGTGTTGTTACTGGGTAACTATGGCCTTATCAAATCTTACTGTTACATATGATGCTTAGCTAAGAATCTCATTCTTTCTTTCTGTTTTCTTCAGTCTCAGGAGTGTGGGTCTATTCTCCTTTATGTGATGCCTAATATGATCCTGCATGAGTTTTCACGTTTCTTTTGATCCAGCTAATGTGAAGGCTCATGTTGGTTTTTTTCTGAAATGTGATTTGTGTCAATATTAGCATGGGACTAAAGCTGTTTTCCTAAAACAGTCTACTCCAAACAGACAAAGATGCTTCACTACACAGCGGTGTCAGGTCTGTGCACTTTTTTCCCCTCTATGTGTCCACCCTGGTCCTGCACTGAGATGTCTCTGCTGCAGACTAGGAGCCTCTACCCTTTGCTGACATGAAATAATTTGAATTTATCTCTTTAATGTCTACTGAATAGAAACTACACAGGACGTGAAATCACTTTATATAAAAATAATACTTAATTGTTTTTCTCCAAACTACTCCCTGAGTAGTTTCAGTAGTTTCACTCTCTGAAAATTCTAATATCTTTTTTGAATGTTTTTTTTTTTAAGAATTTAAGAGGCATTTTAAACTGTAAAGAGCAAGCAAAACTGAAGGGACAGCATCTATATATCTCATGGTACTTTACAAGGCTGGTGTTACTAGCATCTTCATTTTGCACAAAAGTATCTGAACCAAAACTAGCACCATGACCTGCCGGAGATCATACTCTCAAGAGCAGAGGAAGCGATGGCCCAGGCACAACCACTGTCTGGTAGATCTACTGCTTCCCAGAGTTAAAATGAGACATGCTTCAAGATTGAAGAGTTAGAAAATAATACAATCCGTGAACTAAATTTTTGTTCTCTTATCTTTACAATTAATAAGTAATTCTCACATAGATACAGGTGCTTGTTTTTTGGTCTCCATCACTCAACAAACAGAAAACTAAATAAAAAACACCCTCAGTCTCTCTGTCACCCTGACAGAGAGATGCATTGCTGAGGCTCCTGCAGACATAACCTTGCCTGCCACAGGGACTTCCTCTCCTCCCAAATTCTGTTCCAGACACAATGGAAATGTTAAGTTCCCTACAGATTTCCTTTTCCTAGATGTGGCAATCTCTGTTTCAAATGCTACTGTGTAAGCCACCTGCTTCCTCTACTCCTATCTGTCTCCACCTTCTATAAATTTTAGTCCTGTACTCTTCCATACTTCCCTCCTTGCCTGGAGATATATCTGTCTTGTCTGCACGTGGTGCTTCCATAATTTGTTTTCCTATTTTTAAACAGCCTCTGTCAAAGGATGTTAACACAATTTGTCTGCTCAGTTTGTGCTCATGAAACCTTATGCTTTGCACCCTACATTGTTACCTTTTCCCATGTAACCTAAATGCAACAGGTTTCCTTCCAGCCTCAAGATATTTAAAAATCAACTTTTTTACTGTTGATAGTGGTTGCATTCACTGACATTTTTTTGTGTTGTACCCAATTACAAGTATGGGCATCCTGGAGACAACACAGAGAACACTTTCCTCAGAAGGAACAGTCCTATCAAAGTCTAAAAAATACAAAAGGAAAACTGTCACTCTCGCTGTGACTGAACAAAAAAAAGGTCTACACTTATGCAGTCATATTTCAATTTACTGCTTTCTAACTTAAAATCTTGTGAGTGTCTGGAAAGTTTTGTGACTATGAGACACCATCGAAATATTGACAAAATTGCATGGGGACATTTCATTACAAAGGTAGCAGGAAAAATTATAAACACAGATGTAACATTTAAGTTGCATATAGTTTTAAACTAATCTACAACAAATTAAATAGGATTTGGAAATAACAGCTATTAGATGACTCAGGTACAATCAAACATAAAAAGAGATTTTACTAGCAACACTGTACAAATTAAACCAATTTTTTAAAACACTGGAAATGGGGAAACCAGACAATCCATATTTTCATGTGACAACATTAGAGGGTGTTACTGTAAGAACAGTCAGTAAATACAATCTTCTACAACAAACTACTGGGGGTTCATATTCTATTCTATGAATTTTAAAAGCCCTTTGCTTCAGTCACCTAAATAATCACAGATTTCTGAGTTCCTGAAGAAACCAACAAAAGTGTACAGCACACATAATGTTTATAAATCCAGTAACAACGTTCCGTTTCTGAAAGGAATTGATGCCCTAGTTTTTTTCCTTGGAAAATAAATTATGGAAACAAACCAAACAAAAAAGATCAAAAAGCCTCCAAGCTAGATTCATGCTCTAGCAATCTTTAAGCCTTCCATCAATAAATAGAAGGGACTAGTCAATAGTTTCACCCTTGGTTTAATATATCCCCTTCAGTTCATTACATTTAAAAAAATATTCAAGATGCACAAAAGTGGGCTAATTCAGCACATGCATAATGTAGTGAGAGTCCTCATATGAAATTGTAAATGTTCCACTACTAAAGCCATCTAGACACCTGAAAAATTGGGGGGAAAAAAAAGAGATCTTAATTGATACACAGGAAAATACTTGATGTGGCACATTGCCCATCACGTCCTAATTCATAATGGATTGTATGACAAGAAGGATGGGCAATGGCAGTTAATTTTATTTACTGCAAACAGCATAAATAAATATTTTCATTTCTCTAACAATGCTTCAAATTCTTCTGAGTTTTAGAATCTAATGATCTTTTCCTATTTATTACACATTAGTACATATTGCCATGCTACAAAAGAATACATTTCAACCAAATTTCATTCTGATTTATGAAATAATCTGGATAACACAAATTAATAACAGCTAGTCATCCTCAACAGAGCAGAGGCATGGATTTGGGTCAGAGAATTTGAATATAGAACATTGCCTGAAATTTCAGACAGTTGCCATACAGCTTTCCAATTAAGTCATCCTTAAAAAAATAAAACAAAAACAAACAAAAACAAAACCACCAAAAACAAACAAACAAACAAAAAACGAAACAAAAACAACCCTTAAACCCTTAAACCCTTCTATACAAAAAAAACTTTGCAGCAATTCAGAAAAAAATTTTATATTACATTTTATGAAGTTTGTCAGACATTAAAAAATTACATAATAAAGAAAGCCATTATTTCAAATACCAGTGAAGAATTTCAGCTACAAACAACAGGAGTCTGAAAATAAAAATCAAGTTATACATTTAAAATTTTCACAGCTCAAACATTTGAGAATTACACCACAGTTCACTCAGAAGTCATCAGCTATTGTCCATTAAAGAACAGGCAGAAACAAGATCAGACAAGTCTGTAACTGAGAGATACAAAATGTCCTGAATTGTAATCAATACATTGTTTTCAATAAAGAATACCATTAAATGAGTCACTTTTTTCTCAGTCTATTAATTCAAATATGTCTGTCTGTCTCAAATCAGAAACATTTCCCTTCATATTTTTGTAACCCATGCAATGGCTTTAAATGAAGTCCGATAATGCAGATATTCCACACACTCAAAAATTTGGAGATTTCTATAAATAATTTGAGGAATGACGTCCTGATTTATTTAGATAAATAGGCACAGACAAGACGACTATGTTTTTCCTAAGGCTGTATTTGAATATCTGACCTTAATACCACTAAAATCCCACAACAAACCCCAACACATATGTGAAAGATATAATGCCATGTAAATGACAAAATCCCTGAACACACAAGGTCAGTGTGAAAATAACTGTTAAACGCTGCTTTTAAGCAGGATCAAAAGTTTTCATTTCTATTGAAATGTATATGTATCAAACTAAACTTTGCAGCTGTGACAAAAGAATTAAGCAAAACAGGGGATGTTCTCTACTGCAACAAGATACGAAAACATGATCACACAGCGTCTTCCACTGATGGACTCACAGGGCAACCTGAGCTTGTTCCTCAGCTCTAGGAACTGAGTGATAAACTGGAAAGATTATTTATTTTACCTACCAGACACTCTCATTACAGCTTCCATTTCTGCAACTCTGAAAATTTATGACTGAGTAACCTAATTCCTTGGTAATTTCTCTGGTATACAGAAACTAACCCAGACAACAATCTTTGTTGCTCTTGCACAATTTAACACATTATCCCATCTCATGCTTGCTTTGGGGATTTCTTTTTTATTTCAACTATTTTGATGCAACTTTAAAAGCAAGGCAGAGCATAACTTCTACAAATTTTAACAATTCTCCAATGACGTAAAATGAGGCTGCAAAACCTTTCTGACGGCTTCACAAATCTGAAAATGAGAGGAAAATTACTTATGACTGTTTAAGATCTTACATTCAGCAAAATGTTTTGCCTATTCGAATTTGCTTCACTGTGGGGTTCTGTGTCTATTTGTCTGAATGTCATCACAAGGAAGAGCAAGAATCACAAGCAGATTAAACACAATGTTTCTGCTCTGTTATCTAACCACTGAAGTCCTGCCAGCTGTGCTTATTTCTGTCAGAAAGCCACTGACATTACTAAGAAGTGTGCGGAGTCATA